CTCTCTCTCTCTCTCTCTCTCTGTAATCTCTCAAAATGGAATGACTTTCTCTCTCAGCCCACCATCGCCCGTCATCTCTCTCTCTTTCTAAAAATAAATGTTTTGTCTCTCTTCGGGCCCATCATCTCTCTCTCTCTAAAAATAACGTTTTCTCTCTCTCCCTTTCCCTTTGGATGTTTACAGGTTTTGCAGGTGACCCAGAAGCCACATGTCCTCTCAGTGAATTTAATGGGAACCACGCACCTCCGCACCTCCCGCTATAGTGACCTCTCTCTCTCTCTAGATTTCCATTTCTCGTTAGGTCGCCATCTCTCTCTCTAGGTTTCCATGTCCCTGTTTGATCGCCATCTCTCTCTTCTCTGCTCACCCCCATCTCTCTCTCTAGGTTTCCATGTCCCTGTTTGATTGCCATCTCTCTCTTCTCTGCTCACCCCCATCTTTTAGGGTTTTCGAGCTTACCACTTTCCATTTCTAGAGAGAGAAGGATTTTGTTAGAGAGAGAATAACCTCATCGCCAAGCATCCGTTTCCTCATCTCTGAGAATAATTATCGCTTGCCCTTTCCTAACGATTCTAAGTCCGTATCTCAATTCAGAGTTTCATGATTGTCTTCCACGATTTATAGGAGTCAAATTCATCTTCTCCCATTTGCATAGAAAGATCGTATTGTCTCTCACTTTTAGAGAGAGAAAATCATCGTTCTATGGCCTATGAGTGGGAGTTTTTCTAGGGTTTGTATAGGGAATGTATGATTGGGAGTTTTTCTAGGGTTTGTTTAGGGAATGAGATACAGAGCTCTTGGAAATTAGGGTGGGTCTTTTAGGTGATGATTTGAAAATATGAAGAGTGGGGTTTTGAATCGATTAAGGGGGAAGCAGCTCTCCCTTACTCTAATTGGATTTCTGTGTATGACCCTTGTTTTGTGGGCATGGGAAAAGACACCCATTATTGCTTCGATTTTGCCTCCTCAAAGCCAGTTTGAGTCTCTCTCTCAAGGTTCTGAAACCCTAATTCTTTAATTTATCATACATTTGTGGTGCTTTCTCTGATACCGCTATATTTGATGCAATATGCTTGTCCTGCAATGAAATTTAGAGAGAGAAGAACCTTCTGAACTATTCTTCTTCTTCTTCTTCTCTCTCTCTGGGATCAGCAGTTGTAGGTTGCTTTTATATTTTGATACTGCAACAATGCTTGTTCTGCAACATAATTTATAGAATAAAAAGATTTTGTAATAATTATTATCTCTTAATGCAGGGCTTCATTCTGGTTCCCCTCCTCCACCTTCGTCCTCTGCAACAATCTTGGTGATGCCAGTGCCCAAGGAGAGGTTCTCCAATGAAGGCGAGGAATCATATAGAGGTCTAGAGGGAGAACAACAACTCGAACCTTCCTCTAGTGGTTTAGAGGGAGAACAAAAACTCGAGCCTTCCTCTATTTCTTTGGAGCCCAACATCAATGAACAAAATGACACAAAGAAAGGTAATAGCCCTTGTTTTTATGGCTCTGCTTCCTTTACTGCAAATTGATCTCACTTGTAAAGAACACAATCTCACTTGTATAGAACACACTTTTTTTGCAGAGTGTAACTATGCCAAGGGTCGATGGCTTCCAGATAAAAATAGGCCATTGTACTCTGGGTTTGGTTGTAAGCGATGGCTTTCAGAGATGTGGGCTTGTAGATTAACCCAACGCACTGATTTCTCTTACGAAAGTTTCAGATGGCGGCCAGAAGGATGCGAGATGCCGGATTTTCGGGGATCATCTTTTCTGAAGAGGCATGCTCTCTACTCTCTGTCTAATGTTTCTACTTGTGTATGTTTTTCTCTCTATTTGTTTAGCTTTTTACCTGTTCGAATGTTTTATTTTTATATCTTTCTATGCCTATAGCTTTCTTTTGTTTGCCTAGAACTGCAAAAGACGATTGCAGCTAATCGATGCAAATTCTTCTTACTACTTCTCACTAGTCTTACATAAAGGATGTGGTGGAGCATACCAATTCTCTCTCTCTTTCTCCCAGCTCCATCGCAAATTCTTTTTTTTTTCTCTTTTTGTTTTTGATTATTTGTTCCCCATAAAAAAAACCTTTTTTTTTATCTCTTTTTGTTTGATCATTGGTTCCCAATAAAAAAACCTTAAATTCTGTTTGAATTGATTTGATCTATTAATCCATTTTTTTCTTTTTTGTCGTACATGGTTCTTATTTTTCCTAATTATCGATGGATAAAAGGAGTTTTATGGATGCACTTGCACCACTCCGATTCATTACTACTTGCAAAAACAAGGAAATTTAGATTATGGGCACTTTTTAATATGAAAAGTGGTGGGGTTATGGTTTTTAATTCGGTATCTGGATGGCTTTTCCAGGATGAAGGACAAGACCATTGCTCTGGTAGGTGATTCACTTGGAAGGCAGCAATTCCAATCTCTCATGTGTATGGCCACTGGTGGAGAGGACGGGCCTGACGTGCTGGATGTGGGTTGGGAATATGGCTTGGTCAAACACCGAGGGTCCATAAGACCTGATGGCTGGGCTTACCGCTTCCCCAAAACTAACACCACCATCCTCTACTATTGGTCTGCAAGCCTATGTGAGCTCGTGCCCATTAATCGCTCAGACCCTAACACCGACTATGCCATGCATCTGGATCGGCCAGCCTTCTTTCTCCAACAATTCATCCACAAATTCGATGTTCTGGTTTTGAACACAGGCCACCATTGGAATAGAGGGAAGCTCAAGGCAAATAGATGGGTTATGTATGTTAATGGACAACCCAACACAAATAGAAGATTGATGGAGATTAGTAATGCAAAGAACCTGACAGTTGATAGTGTTGTTAAGTGGGTGAGTTCGCAGCTCCCAGGGCATCCTAGGAAGCTCAAGGCCTTCTTTAGGACCATATCTCCAAGGCATTTCTTTAATGGGGATTGGAATTCAGGTGGGAGCTGCGATAATACTCTGCCTCTTTCTGGAGGTAACCAGGTTTTGCAGGAAGAGTCCAGTGATACAGTTGCAGAGAGTGCAGTTAGGGGAACCGGGGTTAGACTATTGGACATTACGGCCCTGTCACAATTGAGAGATGAGGGGCATATTTCAAGGTATAGTGTCAAAGCAACAGAAGGCGTGCAGGATTGCCTGCATTGGTGCCTTCCTGGTGTTCCCGACACATGGAATGAATTACTATATGCACAGCTATAGGCTCCCTCTTTTTAGGACTGTAGGCTATAGGCTCACTAAATGCGTTGGGAGACTTCTGATTTAGACAGAGGTGGCATCGATATAGGCAATCTGAAAGAGGCATACGAAATAGTACTGCTGAAGAATAACCAGAGTTCGGTATGAACTTGTCCTGTGGATTGAACTGTTGGGTTTGTCGGGGGGAAGGCATATCACTTTCCTTGGCATTTTTTCTGAGACCGAATACTTGTTTTATTGCTTCAAAAATCCTTTCAGAGTGCCTGGGCAAACGCTGTTTTTAAAGAATTTGCGGGGAAGATAGGCACAATGTTAATGAAGTGTACCAATTGTAACGTGAAGGAGGGTACCTCGCTGAACCCATTGTTTGGCAGGTGCATTGGCCCTGGGAGAGGGGTTCTCCTTAACGTGAAAGAGCTGGTAAATCTTGAATGCATTGTTCATGATGTCAGCTATTAATCTCTTTAATTTTATTCCTAAAAGATGCCGTATGCATATTCCTATGATGCGTCATTTTGTAAGATGTACTTTCTTGGGTGCATGCTACATGGGTCCAAGCATAGTGTAAATGAAACCATCATTTGCTTTTGCTTTTGCTTTTGCATTCCATTGGAGTACATACAAACCGTTTTCTTTTTTTCTGAATTAAGCCTGCTATTTTTTTAACATGTTCTTCTTGAAACGATATGATTCTCTGATTTGCAGTATTGAATCAAACCGATGTATTGTATGTTTCCTCAGATAGAGAGTACCATTGTTTTCATACTTGGCGAGTTGGCTTGGGACTCACCCGAGTCAACTGGCCTGAGGTCCCTCGTGAATCCTGTGTAAATACCGTGAGACTCGTCCAGGTCTGTTACTTTTTGGCCTTAAAAATGTTTTTTCCCAATAATGAGATGTTTTTTTGCCAGCAGTGAATCTCGATGAGTCTTCCACTTGAGAGAGGCTCGCGACTCTAGTGAGTCTCAACCCAAGTCTGGGTATTAAAATGCTGTGAGATGTATATGATGAGTTACTAATTATAGGTATCATATGCCAATCCTGCTGTCATTGCTGGTTTTTTGCAAAAACTTTTCACTGTTTTAATAGATTGCTGCATTTTAGGGTTTTGATTTAAACAATGCGGCCTATTTTGAGGAGTTCTGTACTTTTGGCTAAGTCATTCTAACGAATATATAATGGCGGAAGATGTCTTCACTAATAGAAAAAAAAACTGTATGGATCTGATCACATAGCAGTTTTTGTCTGCAGGTGACGGCCAACGGCAGGTGTCCTGGGGGCTGGAGCCAAATGGTTAACAGAAAAAGATGCATGCCTGAAATGAAATAGGCAGAAAGCAGAAAAGCAAAAAGTAGAATTTGAGTGATCAATTGTTCTAGCCTAGTGCCATGCAGCTGTTTTTTTTTTTGAACGTTAAGTCATAGTAGTGGGTTAGCAATTTTTGAGACCCTTAGTAGTTTTCAAAGGGGTTGGCATTGGCAGGAATGGAAATCGAGACCGGTAGTTGAGTCACAGGTTGTGCTACGACCTTTTCCTCGACCCCATTCCTAGTTCCATGCAGCTGGTTGTCTGGACCATTTGACTGACATTAAATTTCACTGATTCAAGCCCGAGTAAGAAGAAATGTATTCGAATTTATACTTTGCTCATAACCACTAGTGATAAAAAAGTTTCTCTTATTTACTACTCAGAATTAGCATGAAGCTAACCTGCTTCCATTCGTTGTTTTTGTGGCCTGATTAGAATGGCAGAAAGTCGTGATGTTTTCGCCCATAATGTCTCAGATTCTTGGGGAAACTCTTGGTAACTTTTGCTGCCGACATTGGGAAGCGCAGCAATCAAACTTGGCATGACATCAATGTTCATATTGGACATAGCTCATGAGACAATATGATTTCCTTTACGAAATTAGGAAGCTCAGGAATGTTTATTCATGGTTTATCGCACTATTTCTACAAAACTACGGCCTTTGTGTACCATTGTTTGTAGGTTGGGATTTATAGCATGCTTTTCTAAACACTTTCTTTCCTGTGCTTGATGTCTGATTTGTATCGGACATGTTGATGCCTTTGGCATCTCAAGGCAGTAAGGCACTTTTTGATTATTTTTATTTTGTTTTATATATTGTAGTTTATATATATTACCTTAGTTAAAAATTCTTTTATTTTCTTCATGAATTGTTTTGTTTATCCTAAGGAGTTTGTTCTGTTATTTTCTATATGTTCATTAATATTTTTTGCATTTATTTTATGCAAATTCATACTATTCTAGGTTGCATGATGGATTATCTGGTCTTATGTTAGACAATGGTTCTCATGACAGTTGTCAGTGCCACACTTCCTGAGTATAGGACTCTGCACTTCTACAGTTTGTGCAGGCTTTTCCATCATTTGAAAATTGAATTAGGAGATTGATTTCCCGCATTTTTATCTTTTACACAGGGTCATAACTTTCAGAACTTGTATGTTTCATTTGTGGAATGAAGCTTTCTTCGCATGTTTTAAGTGAAATTCGTTTTACTGACAGGTTGACATTAGGGCCCTTTATGGGCATCTATCAACAAAGGAACAAGATAAAGGGGTTCTTGTTAACGAATCGGGCTTCATAGTTATTGTCTATGTTTGTATATTTTGCAAGCTTTTCCATGGTTACCTTATATGCTTTATCTATTATATACCTCTGAGTGCTTGGAATCCCATTTTATTGTTCCTCAAATAAGATTAAGCTGTAACTATTTCTGATTGCTAGGATATAGTTGAATCTGTATTTAGATCATAATTCGAAATGCTTTCCATTCTTATTCCATGTGCATGGAATTTCCTCTCTCTTGATTTGAGATTTGTTGCATGAAAGTGCATGCTCAATGATCATGTTCCTGTACCAATTTAAAAAAAATGCAAAATCATTCTCTGGTGTACTCTTATGTTGGTATGTTAGGGATTAGTTCAGTTGGGTGGTAATTTGAATGATGTTGTAATATTTTATTTCAATCCTGATGGATTGAAGAGAATGATCAGGCAGGCAGAAAAATTCTCAAAAAAAAAAAAGATCTGGCAGGGGGGAAGTGTCCCGGAAAATGGAGACCAACCTTAGACTAGTCTTGAAATATGGAGAAGGCTGGATGTAATATAACACAACATATCTATCGAGACGTAGAATTTTTAATTGAATAGAAAAATGGAGATTTTGAACTTTGTGTGTATACAAGTCTTAGTGTGAAATAAAGCTTGAATCAAGTTCTCTCAGCAGAAGTCGATAATTGCCTTGTTTTTGAAGTGGAGATTCTTGTTCTCTGAACTAGAAATGTTGTCACAGATAAGCTATCTTGCACTACATAAAAGTCTGGAGGGGGGTAATCCAAGAATTTGGAGGGTCTTCTCTAGAGTTCTCATAAACGTGCGATTCTTTACTTTTAGTTGATAAGAAAAGCATGTCCTGAGACTCTGGATTATTATTTCACTATGTTGCTGGCTGTTATAGCCTTTATGTATGCAGTGGACCGCTGAAAATGCAAATGTGGAAAGCAGTGGCAAATATACTTGTCCCTGTGGATAGAAAGTAACTAAGGATCAATGGATGAATGGAGCAAACAACGTTCTGAAACAGAATCGGGCAAATGATACAGGAGAGAGTGGTTATTGAAGTTCATGATCCAATTATGAAGTATCAATTGAAGGTGGTTTAGTCATAATCAGTCTCCTGGAGTCCCATCAAACCTAGAGAATCCCAATTTGAGGGATTGGTGAGCTAAAAAAAAATGACCCTCAGAATTTTAGCATAATCCATTAGTATTCAAGATTAAGCATATCTTAGGGAAAGTATTCAAAGAGACTATTTACCTTTGGTACAAGATGTCATGATTAATTTTGACCATTGGATGTAAAATTTGGTGATTGCATTTATTCCGCTTATCAAGTTTAAAGTTAAAAATAAATTTTTTTGAATTTTGTGTCGCATTCAAGCTATCAGATTTCATTTCGGATGATTGTAAGTAATTGTGATCTCGTTGTACTAAAATGATATATAGTTCCATATCTTAATAAGCAAACAAGTATGTTTTTTAATTTGATCGTTTAGAGCCTAGGCTCTATACAAACCGCACCCTTTTTAATATAGCAAGGCCCAATGATGAACAAACTTGCTGCAATTTTGAAGACATTTATCCGCGTTTTACTTTTAGCACTATTTGGGCTCTGTATTCTTCTCAATGAACCGAGACTGGGGAGGTGAGCACAAACCTGAATTGGCATGCATTGTACCATGAGTTTTACCCAAGGAAAAAGTTTATATAAGTGCAACACAAACCTGAATTGGCATGCATTGTACCTTGAGATTTATCCAAGGAAAAAGTTTATATAAGTGCAAGGCTCAAAACAATCAAATTACGGCGCACCTCAAAATTTTCACTAGACGAGGCTGCTTTGATGCCCAAATATCCTCAAATTGATTATCTTGACCTCAAGATGCGTAGACAATGGAAAAAAAAAGGATTCCAAGTTTTGGAAATAGTACATCTTGTAATTTATTTTTGGACCATCAATTTTAAAGATTTTCAAGTTTTCATAAATTTGCTTGATCTACACTATTTTTGAAGCTTTAAATTATATAATCAGAGATGAAAGTATATTTTAAAGCTATCACAAATATTTACAACAATGTTGTCAAGGTTTGCTTCGAAGTCTTTTTCAGTTTGGTGAGAAAAATGAAGCAATTCGGTGTTTCAGCTGATTCGGGCGGGGAAGACTTTGGATTTTTTTTTAATTTAATTCAAATAAATTAGATATTTATATAAAAAATATATAAAAAATAATGGAAAAATTTAAAATAAAAAATTTTAAAAAATAAAAAATAAGAAAAATATTTTTATATAGGGATTTCTTTTCTGACCGAAGCAGCCCGACGCTTCGGCCGAAGCAGACCCGAAGAGACCCAAATTTGACCGAAACAGCTAGAAGCGACCCGAATATGATCGAAACGACATCACCATGATTTTCTTTGCTTTGATTTAAGCTTAAAAACTGAATGCCGAAGCGAAGTGAATTTGATAAAACATTGATTTACAGTATTGAAACCACATTTCTATACACTATTTGAAGGTGCACTTTACTTTGATTGTTTAGAGCTTCGGCTCTATACACACATGGAAAAGTGACTTTGCATTGCAGACCTACATGCTTACAAATTGTCATTGTATATATATATATATATATATGGAAAAAGATGGGATTAGCTCACTACGAGACATTCGTGATCGTCAGGTCGGCCCAGATTCAATTTGGGCTGTTGGGCTCATATGTTTATATGAAAAACTCTTCTCAACTCTTATGGACGAAAATGAACAGTGATTTCGCTTACTTTCTTCATCATTCAAACTTCATCGCACAGTCACAGTTATCCGGTAGTATTTCAATTTCTATTTTTTTTTTTCTAAAAATCAAAATTACTTGAAATTTGGAGCGTATGTACATCTTAGTGAGGTGCACCTAATAAAAATATGAAAAAAATAATTTTTAAAATATTAATTGATCAAAATACCCCTAAAACTTTACAAGGTTATTTTGCTTAATTTATATTTT